AGGAACCAGAGGAAGCAAAGGCCTGGTTAGAGTTGTCTTGCACAAGCCTCTGTTCTTGTGATATGATCCATTGTACCTGCTGGTTGTGCCCTGCAAGGATTCTCTCCTCAGTCACACCTGGGGGTTTCCAAGCAGGAGACTGAGCTCTCAGACTCAGGAGGACAGGCTATTACACCCATGCACCCTCAAGCAGGAACCCCTCAGTGACACACTTTACTTGCAGGTATATGAATACTTTCTTTAGTCCTATTTTGCTTCAGGGAAAACTAAAAGTTAGTGAGTGAAAGTGGCCAAAACTCAGGCCACTACTGAGCTAGGCAGGCCATGGCTAGCCTAGTGGCCAGGTGATTTTAACCCCGATTCATAGGAGAATCACATGGACGCATGGAAAGAGCACCAGTGTTTGGGCTCCTTCCAAGGACCAGTTTAGTATGAATCTCCTGGGGTGCAGCCTGACCATCAGTGTGTTTTAATTGCCTCCCCTACCCCAAGAAGTGTGAATACACAACAGAATCCAGGTCCATCAGTCAACCCTGATGCTGTACTATAGAAGTAACAGCTATGTCGTAGCCACCTTTGGGGGTTGATGGTGACCAAACAGGAGGAAAGTAAAGAAGATCTCTGGTATTTGGAACTCTTACTCAAAAGCTAATCTTACCTCTTGATGGCAATAGTGTTATAATTGGAAAAGAATTTTCACATTTCTTATTTTAGTTAATTCTCAGAAAAATCCAACAAGGAGATTTTGATTATGAAGTTACTTAGGTTGGAGAGATTGAGAAATCTGTTCAGAGCCACAGTTGGGAATCTGAAGCTCAACCTGAAGTCTTATGTCCAAACCACAATATCCCAGAGGCCCCATCAGGAACCTTGAACTCTTTCCTATGACTAACTGTATTGCTTTCTACTTCTCCCTGGATATCTGACAACTAAATTTGAATTCCTAAGGGTAAGGGTGGGGGAATGAATTCTAATAAAATAATTTTGAAACTAGATTTTCTTTTAAGTAGTTCCAAGAGGGACAATGTCATGGCCAATGACAGTGAAGAGAACCACAGAGTGTGGAAATATAAAACCTAGACATGAACATGAGTGAAAAAAGAAAACAGGAATTCTAAATGAGTCACTACTGAGGGAGCCCATTTATTTTCAGTGATAAGAACCAAGAAGTATTTAAAGTTCTGTGTTTGGAGCACAAAAAGCTGACTAGGCACATGGTGTTGTAGAAAACAAGTGCAGCCTGGAGACATAGCTTGGTCTAATGCTATGTCAATTTCAACTCTCAGAAATGTGGGTGATCTTATCACTCACTGGCCTCCCATCCTGGAAGTGCATGATCCAGATAAGACACTGCTGAGCGAGCACCTTCCTCACAGTCACTCACCTCTCAAGGCAATTGCAGGAAGCACCGTATATAACAGCACTGTTGGATAGAGAGCCAAGTAAAAGGTGGAGGCCAGAAAATTCCCTGTGTTCAGACTGCTGGCTATTGAAATCCAGCTGGGATACACAGAGACTTATGGCGAGTTCTTAATCTTTCCAAACCTTGTAATTTCCATATATAAAATAAGTATGTGACACATTTATACCCAAGGCTGGCTTCACAGGTCTGTGACCTGTGTCACTGCACAGCCCTATACTTAGAAGTACCCACGTTTAGTTTGATGTTCTGCTGTGTCTAGAAATTGTTGAGGTTCTTTATTTATTTATTTTTTTATGATATCAGAGGTTTGAACTCAGGGCCTTGTGCTTGCTGGGCAGGTGCTCTATTGCTTGAACCACACCTCCAGCCCTTTTTGCTTTAATTATTTTTTTAGACAGGGTCTTGTGTTTTTAGCCACAGTGGCCTCAGACTGTGATTCCCTTACATATGCCTCCCACGTACTGGGATTATAGGCTTATTCCATCATGCCTGGGATGTTGTTTGACATGGAGCATCACTAACTTTTTGCGTGAGCTGGCAATCCTCTTGATCTCCACCTCTGGAGTAGCTGAGATTACAGTTGTGCACCACCATGTCCGGTGAGACTTTTGAACAAGGGCCCACATTTCCAGTTTGCACTGGGCCCTACTATTTTTCCAACTGTTCTTGGTTTCTATCTATCTCATGGAGTTGTTAGAGGCTTGTAGGAGGCCAGATCTGACACGACACCCAGCCTGGTGTGTGGCAGGTGCTAGGGAAGGTAGCACTATTACTTCCATACTGCTGGAGCTTCTGCTCTGTTATCTGGCCCCTGGAGAGTAGGTGATAGGTAAGCTGAGGGCCAAAGACTCAGCTAAAGTGACCAAGAGCAACCAATGCTGCCCTTAGATAGTTTCGCACACTACTGTGGAATTTTCTCCAAACTCTCCTGAGTTGTTCATTTGCCCTCGGGAGTCAAACGTTCTCCTCCCAGGCTATACTGCAGCCCCAGCAGTACACATTCTTTCCCTCTATGGCACTGCCAGGTAGAATGTCACTGGGTCACCAGGTCAGTGGTCAGAATACTACCACTTAATCACACATCACCTCCTTTCCTCAGAGAGAGGAGCAGCAAGGATGGAGCAGGGGAGAGCCACAGGGAGGATGATGGTGATGGGGACAACCTGTGTGAGCACTTTTCAGAGGAGATGGTTTTTAGAACTCTTGTGTATGAAATTCAATTCTTTGGCACAGAAAGAAATTGATTTAATCAGGAAGCCTTGTGTCAGCCAATACTATCCAAGACTCTGAGAGGTCAGCTCAGCAAACTGACCCTGTGATTTACCTGGCCTAACTTTATCTCCAAAGCAACCCAGCCTCCAGGGGCCCTGTGTCTGGAATAGTGACAGCTCTGTCTCAGAGGGCTGGCAGTTGTTTCAGATACCTCCTTTCAATGTTTCTGAAACGCACATATTTTCTGAAGGAAGGACTATCAGCCTTACACTCTCCACAGGTAAGGCTGTGGCATGCAAGAAAGAGCCACCGTACCTGAATTTAATTTCAAGGACTGCAGCATTTCCACAGTAGTGACCCATCACCAGGTGTCAAGCATAGGTGCATGTAGGAGCATCATCTGGTGCCACTCAGAAAGCAAAGCCAACATGGAACCAGGATCCACAACAAAAGTCACAGTGTCAGCTGGTAATTACTGACCCCGTAATATATGCCAGGTACTGTACTAAAGACTTTGTGCTTATTATTATCTCATTATGTCTAACAGCAACCCTCTGAAGTAATTATCATCATCTTCATTTTCCACATAAGGACCAAAGCTTGGCGAGGTAACTTGATTTATTCTAAATCTTGTAGCTGGTAATTGTCAGAGCTTGGATTTGAGCTCAGTCTGACTACAAAACTCAAATTTAAAATAGCTCACTTGGTCTTGATGAGCTCACGAGGTTCATCAACTAGCTCCTACCTGAGAGCTCCTGTGTGACAGTCATAATTGAGTAAAGCCTCAGCCGCTCCTTTATCTCAAATATATTTACTACTCTTATATTAAAAGAAAGTTCTAGATTCATGCCAGTCATACTTCACCCACATTAAGGAGACCAAAATTTTTAAATTCTATTACAATCTTTCTTTTTTTCCCATCAAATGGTTTGAAATGAAGGAAGGGAGGAAATGAGTTTGTAAAAGAATTGAAAAATATTCTTTCAAATGAAAAACATGTGTGTGATTATTCTTCACCTTTTGTCTCCTCCCCCTATCGAGTTGAAAAGAAGTTAACATACACCTCCACACAAAGATAGGAAAAATCAGTGCTGCCCTGAATGGCAGAAAATCCAGAAGCTGCTGTGGGAAGCTTAGAGAAGCCATAGAAAATTCCCCAGAAGCCCAAGGCCAGGTCCAAGCAGTTTTCAAGTATGAGTTACAATGACTCCCAGCAACCAAGAAGGCTGCATTTGGATTGCTTGGAGGAATTCAGCAGGAGTGAATATCCGTTATAGGCAGGCCTGGGAGCAACTGTGTCAGAGATCACAGAAGTGCTGGCCTCCTGCCAGCTTTTCTATCATTTCTTTTCTTCCCTCCCTTCTGGCACAAACAAGCTGTGGAATTTCAAAAACTGGGTCATCATTTTTGAATTCCTTGCTTTCAGCATAGCGCTCAGTTGGTCTTGTTGACTGGCTTGAAAAGTCCAACTTCCTGAGCTAACACTTCCTCGCCATTCAGCTATGGGGGAGTGATGAACCCGGGCCTGCTTTCCCTCCTAGCAGCACATGCACAGTGGATCTCAGGAAGGCTGGAGGACCATCCTTGCATTTCCTGCTATTATATATTTAACAGCATCAAATGTGCCCATTAAAGCTCCACTTCAAAGGCCATCCCTCTTCCTGGGAGGCTAAGGTCAGGGAGCTGCACAGAGCTCCTGGGAGACCTTCTGACACCCGAATCTCAGGGAGTGATGGCTTTTCCCATAGGCTTTGATGTTCCCCAAAGCAAGGCTGGCCTGACCCTGAGGGAAATGGGTCGAGGAAGAAGTTGTCCTACTTAAGCTCTGTTTGGGATCACTGAGAGTTCTTACAATCAAGTGAGTTGTCCTGCCACCTATGAAATTTGGCCTCCTCTGAGTTTTATTCCAGCAATAGACTTAAATTTACATCCACCAGGAGAAGGTTTTGAGAACTTTCCCTTGATTTCTAAAATTGTGTCAATAACTCTCAAAATATCACCTTGGATCCCTGAATTTCAGATTCCCAGGATGTTCCCCTGGTTTGTTAGGGAGATTAACCTGGTTAAGAGCTTTTCCTACTTCTTCACAGTGACTTGCTTAGGTCTGACTCCCACTTTGGGACTCACCTCCAGTAAATTCCATGCTGGGCACTGGATGAACAGGAAACTCATTGTGAGCTGAGTTTCTAAGACTCTTAAAGCTGTGCTTGAGGCATCGAATTTCAGCAAGATCTTCTGGAGCATGAACACAAGTGGAAACCAGCTATGGGGTCAAGTCTGGGCTTGCTTTTTTTTGACCTTGGTTTGTTTTATTTTATTTAGGTAAACTTTTGGGTGGGGACTCAGGGGGTCATAAAATCCTTACCTTTTAAAGGAGCCCATTGTTAACAATTTGTTCATCACTGCTCCCTCAACCTCACCAAAAAAATCTCCAGTCTGTAGGAAAGAAAAGATAACATGGAAGGAAGTGTGGATAAGTAATGCACCCAAACAGCAGAGAACAAACAAAAATAGACACAGTCTGTGTCCTGGAACAGAGCAGGTTTTTAGGATTCCTGTTACAGAAAAGTGGAAAAGGTGGTAACAGTCATGAGAAGCTATGGGGTGACAGAACAAACTAGTGAGCAGATGGGAATGTCCCCAGAATACATGGTGGATGGAGGTGTTGCATAACATGTGCTGAATGCTGAAATTAAATACACACACAAGTGTACACACACACACACCCAATTATCCTTGGATGGAATAGGAATTAATCTGCACATAATCCTTTGTGATTAAAATGCTACTTCATACACACAGAGTGAGCCTATGGAAGGGCTTTCTAGGCAGTAATAAAAAGAACTGTCTATAATTCCTAGATGACCTATTTAGGGAAATATAGTGGTCTACTTCCTAGGCACTATAAATTTCCTGCAGTTGAGAATCCATTCATTCTCACAATCACTTTCTGAGGAACACTCTCATTTGGTCCATCAGTTGTTAATATGTTGACCAAGAATATGTTAATATGTTGACCAGCCCCTTGGAGAGACAGCATGGCCCATCGGACTTCTAATGGCCTACCCCTGCATCTGGGGCTGTCTTCAGATCATTGCCAGGCTGAAACTTCAGTGAATCTAGTTCTCACTGCTGGCTGGGATTCACAAACTTTGGAATGATGGAATGAAAGATTAACATCCTTATGCAGTCTCTCCAGAGTTCCAGATCCACTGAGATGGAGGTGTTACATGGCAGAGGGTACATGCTCTGCAGAGGAGCCAGACTTGTGGCAATAGCCTTCTTCTGCCAGACCTTGGAATGAGCCTGAGTAGGACAGTAGAGAATCCATCTCTACTCTTGGTAGATAGCACTGAGGAATCATAGCTTGTGTGTGGGTTTATTACAATAATTGTCCAAATAAATCATTTACATTCCTTAGGCATTGTATTAACTAAGCCCCGATTTCATTGCAACTAACTGAACAACTTCAACCACACTACCGAGGGTTTCCAGACAGTGGGGAAAATGTACACACTTCATCAAAACAGTCAGGAAGGAGATACAGAAGAAGGAAATAACATTTCTCTGAATATCAAGTACTTCCTTTTTCACTAGAGGGAAACTTTTGCAAACTCTGTGGGCATATGCTAAGAGCAAGGACATTTGTATTTCATGTGGGTAAATATGCCAGTGTCAATGGAACTGGTTGTTAGATGAACAAGAATTAACCTAATTGGGGTACAGGAAGCCAGACAACATCAAACAAGCCCAGGCCGAGCAGGCTGGCAAGATTTCTGAGTAATGTTGCAAGCCTATCCAGAGAGAGAGAGAGAGAGAGAGAGAGAGAGAGACAGAGAAAGAGAGAGAGACAGAGAGAGAGAGAGAAGGACTCCTGCAGCAGTCATGGCTTTGTTAGAGTTGTTATTTCCTATTTCAGTGGTTTGTTGGCTAGTCCAGGCTCACCACAGAAGACATCTACTCATCATTCCTGAACCCCAGGACCAGGTCCTATCTCAGCCTTTGGTGCCTATGGCAGAAGGATAGAGTTCCTCCTTCCAGGAGATTAATTTGGGGTCTCACTGCATAGCTTGTTTAATTTCTCGGGTTTCCCTCCCAGCCAAATGGGCATGTGACCATAGGCCAATGGACTTTTCAGCTTTGTTTCGAGGGCTCATTCATCAGACCCAATATCCACCAGTTGTCTATGGTATTCAGCATTGGAGGAGACTGCGTGGGCATTTTAAATCTCAAAGGCAAATTTAAAATCCTGCAATAGTCTCGTGGATAAGAGGAAGCACAATTTCTCTAAGTCTCCTGAAGGTGCTGTTTGTGAATGAAGAAGCCATTAAGCTCAGGGGCGAAAGAGACACATTCAAGACAACTAACTTATTAAGCACTAATTGACCTATTGCACTGCTGACTCCTACATACTTTTAAATTATTCCCAAGGGAGTTCATTATAAAATATTAGTATTCTAAACTATCAGAGGTATAAGAAATCTTCCAGAGTTCACCCTCCTCACTTATAGAGTCTATCTGAAGGCCCAGATCAATTAGGTAAAGCGCCACTGATCCCAAGACTAGTTATAGAAGGGAACTCCTACTAATATTACTTTACTATGCTCAACTGTTAAATTTGTATTTTACCTTATTTTAATATGCTATTTGAATTTCTAATTGCCGGAAAAACCTGTATGCAGAAACTTTAAATGGAAAAACTTATTTCACTATTGCAATGCTGTTGACTTTAACTCTCAGTTGGATTTCCAAATAGTGGAGATTCCTGTGCTCAGACTCACAGCTTGCTTGCTTTCTCTCTCCCTCCCACCCTCACATTGCACATAGCCCAATCAAATGGAGAATAGTCCTTGTCTATCTCCGGACACTTGTCCCTCATTGTTGAGATCCCAAGTTAATCCTTCAACTTAGTTGACTGATTTTTAAACAGCAAAAATGAGAATGAAAGCCATAAACAATAAATATGTAGGGGTGTGTGTGTGTGTATGTATGTATGTATGTATGTATGTATGTGTGTGTATGTGTGTGTTTAAGTTAACTGTCACAAGGACAAAATCTCCTTAAAGTTGCCCAAACTCTTTAAGGCACCTCCACCCTTCAGGCAAAATTCTTTATGTGGCACAGACAACTCTGAGGCAGAGTTCTATAAATGGAACATTTTATGAGTAAGAGAACAGACCCTGGGCTCAGCACACCCCACTTCCCCCCAGTGGTAAGTAAAACTCTTTGGAGCCTGCTTAGAAGTAGGTTGTGGCATTCTTAGAGGGATGGAATAAGGTTTATAATCTTCTGCCTCTTACATATAGATCATTGTCTCCAGGTTTTAACTCCATACTTTTCCCCCACCTGCTGTTAGCTCATTCTGAGAACCTTGCGTTCAGTTGAAGGATTTTTCACTCACCTGTGTGTAGTCTTCAGACACCAGAATAAACCCATTATTGTCTATGAGGTAACAGTTCACAGTCTAGAAAATAAAAAACCACAGTTTCAATTTTTGGTCCTCAGACTGCTTTTACATGCAATGACGTACTTCCAGCCTCAGAGAAACTCATTTTTGAGGGGGAGGGAAACTGAAATCAGGGAATGGAAAAGGCATGCTGGCTCTGTGAGTTAAGGCCATGGTTAAGTTAACCCCAGGGTTGAGTCTGCAAAATGAACAGACACAACACCAATCAAGCCTTGAACGACTCAAATTGGGATAAAATGAATATGCATTAAAAAATGATGAATTAGCGTGTCTTCCTGTTTTTTTTTTTTTCTTTATAGGACCTAAATTTTTCCTAGGAACAAAGCGTTCAGAGGCCCCTGAACCTGTGTTTTTGGTGGTTGAAGTGCAGGCTATTTGGAAAGCCAAATGCCAGCACAATGTCATTACTCTAATGATGTATTAATGAAAACACCGTGTCAGCTCAGAGGACCATCAGGGGACCAGGTAATATTTTTTAATTTGTTCATGGACTGAGGCAGGGGGGAAGGGGCAGCCTTCAGTAAAAGGGGCCCCTCAGGCCTCCTAAAGGTTTTCAAACTGTGTTTTTAATTGGGAGCTGGATTTGGGGGCAGGGCTGTTAGCTCTTGGTAGCTCAGACTTATAAATTGTCAAAAGCAAGGTAAGCCTGAACCTCTGCTTCCCCCACGCTCCTTTAATCTCAAGTGAATGGTTTGCTACAGGCTAAATTTTAATTACAGTGCTGTGGAGTTTAAATTTAAGGCTTAATTCCGTCCTTGATGTAACTTAGTTTCTATTTATTGCAGCTTTACATACCTACTGCAACATTTAATTTGTAACATATCTTTACCCTGAGCTAAATTCCACCTAGCTCCAGGCCACCACAGGGCTGGGGTTAGCTGGGACATTAGCCTTTGCATAGGGTTGGTTTTAGTTGGGCACAAAAAGACAGCAGTGAGTAGATGGAAAGGTCTCACTTTTATTTCTAGATAGTGATTGTATGGAATGGACAGAAAATTAAAAGCCCTATCAGTACCTTTTCTAGATTACTTGGCTTCTTTGGAGAACAACAAACTTGTCTTAGTTATCTAAGTCATCAGATGAATGACTTGGGTATTCTTTTTATACTTTTGCTATTTGCAGAAACTCTTGACTTCAGGGACACTACTTTGGTCCTAGAGGGAATCTTGATAAACTCTCTGCATCCTTAGGAGACAGAATTATGGAAGCAAGCTCATAGAGCTGTGCTTCCAATATGGTGACCACAAGCTTTATTTCATTTAGATTTAACTTTAATGTTAACTTGATTAAGATTAAAGACAACTAAAACTTCAGCTCATAGGTCCCATGAGTCACATTCCAAGTGTTCCACATATACCTGGCTAGTGACTATGCTTTTGGAGATATTCATTATTGTGCAAAAATTAGTTTGGACAGCAATGTCTTAGATTATAGCAGGACTGCAATGAGTGTCACCCAAGTCAACATTGGGTTGTATCAGATAAATCCATATATGCTTAGTGATTTGATGGTTTTCATTTTGCAGATAAAAGACACTAGCAAGGCACTTACCCTCCATTCAAAATAAGTGTTCAGTATAGGAGTGGACTACATATTCAGATATTAACTACCCAATTCCTCATAGTTGTACAAGGAGTCAAAAGTTATCATAGCCCTGTCCTCAAATAACTAGTTATAAAATTACTTCTTGCCCAAAGATCCCTAACCAATTAGTATTCTTGCAAAACCTTTGTCTAATGTTGTAAATATTGGGCAATACAATATAGGAATAAGGCAAATCAATGATAGAGAGCATTTGAGAATCTTGGCATGTCATGAAGTCCATTGGCACTTCAGGGTCAGTCAGAAGTAGACACATAAAGAAGGAAAAAAATCCCCACAGCTAAAATGTAAGAAGTGTTTCCAAAAAGAATGATTTTAAAAGCAAGGGACCAAGGGAAGTTTCTGGGAAAACTGGTCAGGCCCTTCACTATATTTGACCTTCTTTGTAATCACTCTGGAAAAATCAGATATAAAAGATTCTATATTGTGCCATTTTATAATTTTATTGGAAACACCAAATGCCTGGCTCCCAAACCCACTAAGTTTGTTTCTTTGTTTGAAAAATAGGCTACAGTTATAACTATAACCTGGATTTGTTAAATAGCTATTTTCACAATTTGTACTTCAGAACAAAGCCTCAACAAAACTTTTCATTATTAGCTGTATAAACATCCGTATCTTTCCCTGATGTCACTTCTCGGATAGGAGGACCTTTGTGCTCTTGGCAGTGGCCAGCCCTGGGTGGCCACTGGCAGACTCTTTTCTCAGGTGTGTACCTGATTCTCTCTTTCTGGAGTGGAAGAAACAGAGGGAGAGTTCTAGAACCAGGGCCGAGGTTGTTTCAACATAGAACTTAGAAAACCAAGCTGTAAAATGGAGGGTGGCAAGCCTGGGAAAACACCAGATGACAAGTAACACACAAAGAAGTTTTTCATAAAACATGATTGTCAGGAAGAAAAAGATAAGGAAGAGGAGGGAAAGAGAAAGGAGAAGAAAAGGGAAGTGGAGGAGGAGAATGGAATGGCAATTAGAGCCCATCCAAGCCTTCCTTTTCAGAGGTCAAGTAGGTAATTATCCTCTGAGACAGAAGAGAAAACTGAGGCCCAGAGGTAGATCTTCCCCAAGGTTGTAACCACAGCTAAGCAATCAAGACTTGAACCCAGTGCTACATGACTTCAAAGTCCACACTCCTGATATTGGCTGACTCCTCTGCCTTCCAGAAGACAACAGCACATAGTTAGGGTCTCAGGGTCCAGCCTATTCATAGAAATCTTTCTTTGTTGGAAAAATGTAATCCCTTAACCTACAGAGAGCTAATGACAGATCTTGTCTGCCTTAGTACCGAAGGTCACTACAACAAATGATAGAAAAATCAGCCAGACCAGCACCGTACCAAGTGCCTGGGGTGTTACTCTTATGGCTACAAATAAATAAAACAAAAGCAACTGGTGTTAAGTCAGTTTGGTAAGGTAGTACTGATTACATTTATAATTCGTGGGCTCCCAGAGCACAGAGATTATTAAGCTAATATCTGAAGTCAAGATACTTCGTCTTGACATAGCTGAGAGGGTTTCTATATGTACCCACCACCTGCTAAGAAAAAAATCTATGGAAGAAGACAAACAAGGCTATAATAGGCTAGACTTTAAAAGTATACTTAATGATCTACTCATTGTGTGGTTAGATTAGTCTACATCCTACCAGATGGGGATGGGAAGAGGAACAAAGAAAGGCTGACAAGACCCACGTAGGACAATGTGCCTAGGCTAACATTCCTCCAAAAGTGCCTCATATTGTGCTCCAGCATGCTGGACATGCACTGCTGGGCACAGGCCAGGGAAGAGCATTTGCTTCTTCTATACTGAGAAAATTGAAATGCATGAGAAAATGACATTTCTTTTTTGGACCATGTTTCTAGTTAACAAATTTTAAAAGGTACCTTTCCCTCCTTCCATTAGGATTCTAGGATGAGAACTGGAAACAGAGAATATGCCTTGTTAAGTTTCAATTTTAAGGTTATGCTGAATATAAAATATTTGGTCATCTTATTAAGCAAGAAACAAGTACTACCAACAATGGGACTGATAAATCTCTGGGAAAGTCATAGGTCAAAAGTTGGTTGCTGTGTCACTAATGTGGACCTGGGTCACTGTATCTGAAAGGTATCATTAAGTTTTCATTACAGGCAATACTGTGTTCTCTACCTGTAAACACTGAGAGGCAAATTTAGTGACCAGATGACTTCCTAAACAGACCTACCCATCAACAACCACTTGGATTAAATTACTACTGAGAAGTGCAGTAGAGTGGAATCAGCCCACTGGATTAAGGGAGCAAAGGACTGAGCATATGGATCAGCCAGGACAGAATTAATCAGTCTCATCAATTGTTTCCTCTACATCACTTTACAAATACATAATATTCAATTGCCTTCCCTACGCTGCCCCTCCAGTGAAAGGAAAAAGAGGAGATATATCTCAAGCTTTCCTTCACTCTGTTACTTTTCCCCAAATTAAGCCCAGCATTTTGGAGGATGCCTGTCTAACATTGGGTCCCCCATTGGCACTAACAGACTGAAGGGCTTGGAGAAGGTGGGGGTTTCACATTCTGATGTATATGTAAGTGCCTACTCCATGGCCATCTTTGGCAAAACAGCTCAGGATGAGGGTGTTCTTAAAATGTGGAGATAGAGAAAGGGAGGGGGAGAGGCAGAAAAAAGTTGAGTTAAAAAAAATTTTTTTTTCCACAATGATTTGCTGATTCAATATTGCTCAGAGAAGCCCTACTATGGTCCACAAAGGCAGATACAAGTGGTTAAAGCCCAAATCCCATCATGGGAACTGGGTAGTTATATCCTGGAAGAAAAGGATGCCAGGAGTGAGAAGGTACAGGGCCAACTACCAGTGTTAATTGAAAGGCCATATCAGCGTAAGACTAAGTGACTGGCTTTAGGATCAGAGGCTCTGACATTTGTTATCACTGTGACCTTGAGCAAAGTCTTTGAACCCTCTGAGTCTCAGTTTCCTTCATGGAAGGGAGGAGATAGCAACAACAACCCCACAGGGTGATTGAGAAGATTCAGTGGGAGGTAAATGCTAAGTGCTGAGCACAATGCCTAGTGAACAGTAAGTCCTCAAAGAAGGTGTGCTCACATTCCTTCAGCCAATGATGCTTGGATACCTGCTAGGCTTTTATCAGCAACCTAATGCTACAATCCTATAGTTTCTCAGGAAGGGAAGTGTTTACACAGCTCACAGAGGTCTTTGGAGGTAGGCTGGCTGAGCTTTGGTGCTTTTTGTTTTGGAGAATGCCTTTTGCTTGGAGAGAGAGGGAGACAGGGAATGACGAAGAGAGGAAGGGAAGGAGGGAGGGAGGGAGAGAGAAATATCTTTCATTTTCATTTGATGAGACCTGAGTCTCTGTGTCTCCTGCACACAAGGTGTAAAGCTTCATTCCCCTTTTCCAGGTCTCCCAATCTGATCCCTAATATTTCAGCTACACAACAGGCTAACCATTCCTTCCCATCACTTGCTGTACCTTGCTGTATCATTTGTTAATAAGTCAACTATCATATCAAAATACCATCTTTTTGAAAGAATTTATGACAGAGGAGTCACTTTGGAAAGATGTGCTTGGTAGGACCACTTATGACCCTTCCCCTGATAGCTATTTAAATGACCCTTTCACTTACCTACTGGCAGGGATGGGTGGCTCCAATATGGAGGTACCCAGCTGCTTGGATGTAGCCCTGCTCCTAGTCCTGTCATAAAGCAAGGCATCTTTCATGTGTCCAAGGAAATGCCTATAAGGACTCTAACAGTCTTTTGATACATATTACTAATCTCCATTTTTCTGGAAGAGAGAATAGAGCTGAGTTTATTATGAAGTTCTTGATCCTCTCATTTCTCCTGCAATGCCTCAGTAGGGGACAACCTTCTTCCTTTTCACTATCTTTGAAAAATACTATTGCTCTCAACAGGAAATGGGGATTGATGAACAGGTGAGTGGGCAGAGAGAGTGGCCACGGTGAGGAAATACTAGCTTGGTTAGGCTGAGATGGGAGGTAGACATGGCCTTCCATCTTCCCTTCTGTCCTGTTTGCTTTGACCAAGTCTTTTGCCTCAGTGCCCTTGAAGGGGCATTCTCTGCCTACAAAGCTCTTCTTATACTTCAGACATTGTCTTCAATGTCCTTTCTTCCCCCATCTTCCACTGACTTCAACTTTATCTCCTCAGAGAAGCCTCCCCTGACCAGTGTGTGTTGGTTACTCCATAGCACTTACCCCAGTTAGTCATCAAATATGCTTGTCTCCCTGCTATCCAATAAGCTCCAAGTCCTCGTGGTCAGCTATGAAGCACCAGCCCCTAAGAAGGTCTCAGTCAATAGCCTTTGAAGAAGTGAGTGATTGAGTATATGAACTGCCATTTCATGGGCCCTGAAGTTAATAATTGCCCTGGGTAGAATGGAGCTTCTTCAAAGTCTTTGGTCAGCCCTATGGTCAGGTCCTCCAAGTCACATCACTCAGGCTCTGACTGGGCCAATTAAAAGTGCACTCTTATAGGGTGAGAGGGCATCTGCCACATCAACCCTACCCACTAGTCCAGTGGCTTGTCTCTTGACAAGGTCCAGGGAGTACACTGATTGGGTGACACAGGAGTGGAGGAGACCTAAGGCAAAGAAAATCTGATGAGTCTGAGGGAGTGATCCAGATCTTCGTATAGTGGAGAAGCCAGAAGCATGTGAACTTAATGAGCTCCATAGTTGTTTTTAATGGGGACCTGATCACTTGAGGACAGCTGGGGATTGGAAGGACAAAGGCCTAATTAAAAGTTATGAAAGGAGAATGACACTTGAAAAGAGTCTACTGGAAAAATGGAATTGGGTCTTGGTGGGAAGACCCATTTAAAACAATGGCAATTGGTTACCTGGAGCCAAAATTTAAGAGTCAAAGAGAAAAATTATTGGTAGTTTCAAAGTACAAACTGAGGACATTTATGCATCAAATCAAGTTGAAAAGTCAGGGTTTAATTTTTTCCTTTTTTTTTTTTGGTAGTACTGGGGCCTCTTTTGCTTAGTTATTTTTCAGATAGGGTCTCCCATATTTGCCTAGAGCCAGTCTTGACCATGGTGCTCTCACCTCTGCCTCCCACACAACTGGGATTATAGATGTGAGCCACCATACCTGGCTTAATTTTCAAAGTATATGAACCTTTAAATGACATTCTCATGAGCTTCTCCCAATGGCTGTGGAAAACAGATCATTAGTAGTAACAAGGGCATCACAGTCTGCACTTACTGTGCCCAGTGTGTGTACCATTGTGGTCTGAGGCTTCAGATCCCAGTGAACCACTAATCTAAGGGAAGAAAAGTCTTCCTTCATTTAGACCTAACATGTATTGATTGTGTATATTTGCTAGCAGCTATGCCATGTATTTTTTTCATATCTTTTCCTGCTCATTCTTTACCATTACTCTGTGAAGTGTCTATTTCTAGCCCAACTGGGTAGTTGAGAAAACTGAGGCACAGAGAGTTTCATAAAATTGTCCAGGTAACATGGCTTATATTTATTTTCAGAGTTATAATTTGAAGCTCATTGGTCTAATTCCATACCTTTATACCATGCCACACCACCCATGAAATGAATTATTGAACAACAGATGTACACTGGAGGTTTCCAACTAGGGACCCATTTCTATTTGTTTTTATATGAGGATTACTGAGACAGTGTGAAGTGTAGGAAGATTACTACGTCTAGCTTTATTTATCAAATTATTTAACCAACTACCCATCTATCTAACCAATCAACCATTTACCCACCCACCTACCCAACCAACCAGGGAACCAACCAACTAATTAATCAATTAACCAACTACTCAAACTACTATCCATCTCACCAACCAACTAACCAACCAGTCAACTGTGGTTTTGTTACTGTAAACTAGGGTTAGCAGTTGAGCCCACTGTGCAAGTGAAGAGCTTAACACATGGCCCCATTGATTAACCGCAAAAAAAAAAAAAGCACTCATTCTTGAGTTGTGGTTCTTGAGCTGAGCACTGCAATAAGATAATTCATATTTTAAAGCCAGAGGGAGCTCTGAGGTCCACTTGGCTCTTCTATGAACAATATCCCTGAACTTACTAAAGGGTGTTGATCAAAACTTGACAGGGTGCTTTTTCCTAAGGGGAAAAAAATCATTTTGATCTGATGATCAGAAAAAGTTGGGCTTTCACTGAAAATCTAATTGGCTTTTACTCTTTGGAGTGACTTACACAATGATCACCATTATGATAACAATTTTTCTTTTAAACTGGCAGCCAGACTGTTGGAGACTGAGCATTTTTTATTTTAACTTTATTCTAGACAATCTTTTGTATTTATGTGATTGTTTTTCCTTTGCCTACTCTTTTGAAATCTACTTCTAATCTGTGTTTTCTGGCTTAAAATTATGTTTGGTTAGGATTTCTTAAATCCTTGCGGTATCCAAAAGAATTATAAATATATGATTATTCATAAAGTGTAGTTTATGTATTCACTAATGTTTAGCTAACATGCAGACAGAAAGGATACCTAGGACTTGCTCTAAAGCATGGGGCAGAGGGGTCACCAGACTGGATGTTTTAAAAACATAAGTCTGACTGATGGACAGATTTAGGGCTCCAGAATATTTTTTTCTTCTATTACTGACATGCGAGATTCAACCTCCTTCCAAAAGACACAGAGGGAGAGGGAGAAGGAAGAGAGAAAGAGGAGTTTTAGGAGAAAAGCACTATCCTAGAATGAAAAATTCTGAGTTTCAGTTTTCAACTCTAAATTTGCAGTTTCCTTATTACATGAAATTAATGGAGTTACTTTATTTCCCTCATATTCAGTTTTCTTATCATCAAAATGGGTCAATAATTACTACCTATTTCACTGGGTGGTTATGAGGAGGTAAAGAAGCTAAGACATGGGGGGAAAGCTTTGAGAATTATAATGTGAGCTACAAATGATAGTCATGTCTATTAATTCCTATAAATAAGATGTCAAAATTCCAATAGTGCTGTCCAAACTATCTAATTGAAGAAAAAAGAAACAAAGCAAACTTTTTTTTTTTGGCGACTGGTCCAGAGCAATGTGTCAGACCTGGCTCAGCTGATAGTGGCTTTCCCTCAGTCAGAAAGTACCATCTATCACCTCCCCTTGACCACCTTACCTCATCATCACAGCTGATGGAGCATTTGCCATCCAGAGAGGCGCACTGTTGGGGGAAGGGGTGGAAAGTAAGGGGAACCATGTTACTGGGGGCATCCCAGCATCTGCTGTGGCTGCTACTTAGCAATCAAAGTCATAGCCTGTGATGCAAATAACAAATTTCATTCAAAAGGAATGTTTCAAGATGAGACTTGGCTGTGTTCTTTAGAATCTGTGTCGACTCCAAATAGTAATATAAAAGACATATACAACACTTTTGGGAGGGCTGGCTCTTTTCCATCTATTTTAATTTATGTTGTCGTTCAATATTGATAATATCTTTTTAATTCTCAAGTCTTTTGGTAACAAGATATATAATTATGTAATTATTTAATTTAAAATTATTTCCCAATGAGTTAAAAAAACTTCCTGTGTTCTTAGTTTATAGTTTCCTAAAGTATTATAATTTAAGAAATGATAAATCACCCTTATCCATGCATCCTTGGATGGGCATCTAGGTTGATTCCATATCTTAACTATTGTGAACAGTGCCCAATAAACATGGGCATGCAGGTATCTCTTTGATTTGCTGAGCTCATTTCCTCTGGATATATGCTTCCAACATTTACAATTGGACAGATGAATGCACTTAGGCCATTTCTGCTGAATTACTATGCAGATACCACTGAGCCTTCATAGTGTAGACAGCACAGCAGTGTGGGAAAAAAATGCCCCAGACACTCCAGGGCAGAATAACCCAGAGAAACCGCTTGGCTAGAGAAGACAGATATAAAACCCAGTCATTTGAAAATCCGTCTAAACTGCAATAAAGAGATTCAAAAGTAAATAAGCAGGCCTTACAATGAGATTAAAAGTCACAATGAAAGCCACACAGCCCCTAACAGTAAAAGATAACTCTTTTTTTGGAAGGACAGTATCTTGATCTCACAACTCACTCTGTTCCTAGGAGCAAATTCCCTGCTTTGGCCAGCATGTGCTCTCACGCTGACAGCCCTTTATTTTACAGTGAAATGAACGGTAATCTGAGAAGCAGGCAGTTCATTTTACAAACATTCATCGGAAATCTGGCACATTTCTGCTCCAGGTATCCAAAGGGGAACACCTGTATAATAACAGTGTGGCTAATACTTGAAGATGCTGATTATAACTTACCTGTCTGCTGGCAGTCCAGAACTTCCTTTGGAAAAATTCAAGTTTCATCTGAATGCCTACAGCTGGGACAAATTATAAATAAAACAAAGCATCAGAAATTCCTGCACACAATTATTTAAGATTGTCATTGAAAATTACTCATCAGAGTTAGAGACTGATATAAGCATATCAGAACAAATTTACAGTGAAACATACATGTAAGACATTTTTTTCTTCCAGGTAAGGAACTCTCAAGGCTATCTGTACTCATAAAACTCTTGATATAAAACAAACTGAATGCAGTGCAGATGGATCTTGAGATATGTCACTTTCAAGTTTCTAAAATTCATATACTTACAATAACCCTTTCCCCAACACAAGCTGAAATGGGGTAGGGGATATACTCAGAAGATCAGTATTTCTTCAGTTCCTGTGTCAGCTATTTCTGTATGCATTTGAATGTCTTAAATACAGATTGTGCATGTGTTTTTGAACTATAACATTGGAAAAGCACTTGTCATGAGGATGGTATTTGGAAGAGAGTCATTTCACTATGATGTGATTTAGCCTCACTGGCCCCCTAGTGTCCACATTTCAATGTTTCTCTGTGTCCAGGAACTCTGGTGAGATTATGTAGTTCTTTGTAAAGTTTCCTAAAGCAACAGTGAATGCTGGCTCTGCCAATAGAAAGGTACCAAAGGAAAGAGGTGAAGGAAGTGACTTGAAAATTTGGCCTGTGGTGTTTGGCTGAACATCAGAACTAGGACAAGAACAAGTTCTTTATATTTTTCTCCATGAAGCCATGTCAGCATCATTCAGAAAGTTAAACGGTCAGGGCAAAGATCTCATTAGATGGTTATACTTTAGAGGAGTTCAAAAGCATAAGACTCTGCTGGACTCACCATGGGGAGGCAATTTACCCTGGTGCAGTTTTGCAAATTTGAGTCTGTTGCAAACAACCTCCCCAATTTTTGCCATATGTGCATACCACCAGTATTGTTAGTTATCTTTCCGTCCTTCTTTCTTTTATTGAAACACCTATAGTAATTTCAACCTAAATAATAACACTCATCAAGAGAAAATTGCCCTCATAGACTCCTAAAGTTTTGCCAATCCATGTGAGACCTTCTACGTAGATTATCATCGTTCTGATGGCTTCAAGAATTTGGAGATTCATTAACATCTCAGGACTATTGCCTTAAAACTATCAAGTGCATTTCAATTTCCTAAAGAAAGTGTTGCAGCAAGCCCTAAGAGCAAAGGTTATCTACATGTATACATTTGAAGAGACTTGCCATCAGCATTTGAACTTGGAATTTCAGGCTCTAAGACAAGACTAGAGCCAAGCAGGGCTGTACTGTGCAGAATGGTAGGTGCCCATCCTGCTTTGCTCTAAGTGTCTTCTGTTTTTGGAACCTAAACTGCCCAAAAGGAGGGGCCTGTTTTTGCTCCCTGTGGGACTCCTGCCCCAGGAAGGTGCCAAGTATACAGATGATCAACCAGTAAAAGTTTGCTTAAAAAAAATCTTCCAAGATATAGTTAGCAGTTACAGTGAAAAATGGAAGAACAACAACTATATGAGTTGTAAACACCTAAATACACGGTTCTTCAGGAGTGCTTCCCAAGACATTAAAACCTTATGATAAAAATAGTGATGTTTGGGTGCCTTCCCTTTCTCAGTCCAAGTCCATTTCAACCAGAATTTCTGGGTGTGTGTGTGGGGGGTGAGGGTGTAGGCATAGGTGATTTTCAAAGATGTATAGCCAGGGTTGAAGATGGTTACTCTGTAGTTTTTAGTAAACTGACTATCTTGGATGTAGTATATAAAATAAATATTTCAGAGAATAGATGAAGGAAGCTGACTTTGGAGTCTGATATCTGTTTGTAGCATTTCAAATAAATCCCATCTCTTTCAAACTGCCTGACAGGTCAGAGTGCAGGGTACATTAGGGTCAGCTGGGATTTGCTCCACTGCATCAGCAGCAGAAGGGACAGCCCTGGGCTTCAGGAGGGCTTGGGACAGGCAGGGTCAGGCAGCAAACTGACTTCAGAAAAGACAGCCTCCACATGACTGTAACAGCCAGTAACTGGTATCCAAGAGGAGGAAAATGGATTTCTCTGTTTTCCTCTGTGTGTCTTTCTTTAGAGCTCCCCTTTGGCATTGTTCCTTAGCCTCCCTCACAAGGATGGAAGTCAGAGAATAATTCTAAGGCCATGTCTCAGGGCCAAGGTCAACAGCCATGGTAAGCTTCAAGGCCCTACAGGACAAAAGGATGAGGCTTTCCTGAGTTGCTCCATGGCAGCCTTTCCATGGTGTTTCTCCTTCCAACAGTCTAGAGCTTCCCCCAGCTCTCACGTCACCTTTTGAGCTCCTCCATCAGCTACCCTTGCCCTTTCTGAGCACCTCTCTTTCTCTGGTGGGGCCCCGTTTTCACCTCCCTAATGAAGCTAGCTGCTCCCTCCAGGGTGTTTATCCATCTCACATACTTGGAGTCTGCTATCATCTGCCCCTGTCCATCCTGTACCCAGCTCCTCGGGGCGCTTTAATCTTTCCTCATGAGTCAGTCCCTCTGTCCCATTAATCATGTGGGCCGCTTCTCTCTGATCTCCCTCCAGCGGGCTGCATCCTCTCCCTGGTCCTGATGCCCTAACCTAGACACTGCTTCCCTCCTCACTCACTCCCTGTCTGGGCCAGGCAGCTCCTGCCCAAGGGCTCACAGAGAGTCCTGATTGCAATTGGTCTGCTTGGTTTTGACCTGGCTGTGTTCCTGTTGGCTGTCCCCCACTACCCCCACCCCACCTCCAGCAGCAGTGGTACTGGCTTCAAATCACACATGTGACTCACAATATTTTCTTCTGCAAGTGAATATACTTCTCTATGATTCAAAGACTCGCAATCCCATTGTTAGGAACGAAAGCATACTCCCTTCAGCGTCTACTTAAGGAGCTGCTACACAGTTAAAAACTGTACTAGAGGCATAAACAGAGAACTGTGGAGTACCGAGTTGGCCTGAGGGAGTTGGAGGGAGCTTTGCATATTGTAAGGCTTGGAGATCTGACTCACAGCAAAGTAAGAATCAAGAGAAGTTGGAGGACGCAGAGAAACTAAAGCAGATACTTTAAAGCAACTGAGGCCAATAGGAAAAGGGGACCAGGAACTAGAGAAAAGGTTAGATCAAAAAGAATTAACCTAAAAGGTAACACACATGCACAGGAAACCAATGCGAGTCAACTCCCTGTATAGCTATCCTTATCTCAACCAGCAAAAACCCTTGTTCCTTCCTATTATTGCTTATACTCTCTCTTCAACAAAATTAGAGATAAGGGCAAAATAGTTTCTGCTGGGTAGTGAGGCGGTGGGGGGGAGAGGGAGGGGGCGGGGGGGGTGTCAGGGAGGGGGTAGGGAAAGGGGGGGAGAAATGACCCCAACAATGTATGCACATATGAATAAAATAAAAATTAAAAAAAAAAAGAGAAGTTGGAGAAAACAGCATGGGCAAAGGGTCAAAGCTTCTTACAAGACCACCATGTGTTCTGAGGTTTGAGAAGAATGGTGAAGGGACATGGGTGTGCAGGTGGAGGTCAAATGACAAAAGGTGTTGAATGTCAGGCTAAGGCACCAGAACAGTAACCTAGAGATCAGGAATTGGCCAAAGGGCCAAATCTAGCTTCTTGTTGTAAATAAAGTTTTATTGGAATACAGCCATGACCACTTGTTTACAAATGGTCTGTGGCTACAGGGACAGAGCTGAGGAGTTGAAACAGAGGGAGACTGTCCTACAAGGCCTAAAGCGTTTACTAGCTGGCCCTGTACAGAAAAAAAATTGCTGACATCTGCTAAGGGTGCCATTAAAGGTCTGCCCAGAAGTAGCAGGATCAGATTTATATTTTAGAAAGTCTACTTTGAAAGTTTGCAGAGGAAGTGCTAGGCAGAGGGCCCAGGCAGTGGGAGACTAAAGAATGGGATGTGCATGCACAGGAAATCAATGTGAGTCAATGCCCTGTATAGCTATCCTTATCTCAACCAGCAAAAACCCTTGTTCCTTCCTATTATTGCTTATACTCTCTCTACAACAAAATTAGAAATAAGGGCAAAATAGTTTCTGCTGGGTATTGGGGGGGGAGAGGGAGGGGGCGGAGTGGGTGGTAAGGGAGGGGGTGGGGGCAGGGGGGAGAAATGAACCAAGCCTTGTATGCACATATGAATAATAAAAGAAAAATGAAAAAAAAATAAAATAATATAAACAGCTACCAAAAATTTTACAATAAAAAAAAAAAGAAACTAAACTCTCCTAAAATCAATGAACAAATTAAGAAATGGGCAACTGAACTAAATAGAACTTTCTCAAAAGAAGAAATTCAAATGGCCAAAAAACACATGAAAAAAATGCTCACCATCTCTAGCAATAAAGGAAATGCAAATCAAAACCACACTAAGATTCCACCTACCCCTGTTGAATAACCATCATCAAAAACACCAACAACAACATGTGTTGGCAAGGATGTGGGGAAAAAGGAACCCTAATCCATTGCTGGTGGGAATGCAAGCTGGTACAACCACTCTGGAAAAAATTTGGAGACTTCTTAAAAATCTAAACATAGAACTGCCATATGATCTAGCAATCCCACTCCTGGCGATATACGCAAAGGAATGCAACACAAGTTACTCCAGAGGCACCTGCACACCCATGTTTATTGCAGCACTATTCACAATAGCCAAGTTATGGAAACAACCAAGATGCCCCACTACTGATGAATGGATCAAGAAAATGTGGTATTTATACACAATGGAATTTTACTCACCCACGAAGAAGAATGAAATCTTATCATTTGCAAGTAAATGGATGGAACTGGAGAACATCATTCTGAGTGAGGTCAGCCAGGCTCAGAAGACCAAAAATTATATGTTGTCCCTCATATGTGGACTTTTGATCTAGGGCAAATGCAACGATGTGGTTGGACTTGGATCACATGACAAGGGGAGAGGACATACGGGAGATATAGGAATAGGCAGAAAACCCAAAACATGAAAGTGTTTGATGTCCCCACTCCAGAGGAACTAATTCAGAAACATTAAAACAAC